TCCCCCTCCGCCTCCTCCTCCTCCTCCTCCTCCTCCTCCTCCTTCTCCTCCTCCTCCTCCCCCTCCTCCTCCGAGCGTTTCTGGATCTGGCGCCTTTGGCCTCTGCCGCGCGACCGCGGGCGGGGGCGCAGCAGGCGGCCGCGCGCGCGCGCGCCCGGTGGGGGCCGCCTCGCCGGCGGCGGGCGCCTTCCTCCCCCGCCCCACTTAAGGGCCAGACGAAAGGGGGGGTTACGAAATCTGCTGCATGCAGCCGGTTTCAGCCCCACCGGGGGGCTCATTCCTCGATGCATGGTCGCCTCCGGCGCCAGGAGGCGCCGGGAAAATCAGGTACGTGAGATGATTCTCCCCCCCCCCCTTTGGCATTAAGTCGGGCCTGTCCCTTGACAGGAGGAATGTTTAAGAATAGTCAAGAAATAGCCAGGGGACGATTTTTTGACCTCTGCAATCCCAGAGGGCAGGACCGATGCTAATGACTTAGCGGCCGCGACTGCGGCTTCGAGAAACATCTCGAGGGGTTGCTGCCTTCGCAGCAGCCTCCCGAGCCTGAATACGTGCCACGAGAGCGCGCATGCCAGGGGTCTGAGGCAGGGACTCCATCCCACGCAGAGGCTGGCGAACGTCAGGCGGTGGCGGCAGAGCTGCAGCATACTGCATGTAGGCCGCTCCGCGGCGACTCGACACGCTGAGCCGAGACCCCTCCTCCCTATAATGAGGGTGCTGGCCTTCAAAGATACGACGGAGGGTCGTGGGGGCCCCTGCCAGCTTGCGCAGTGGGCAGTCGCGGCCAAGAAGGTAACACCTCTTGGCCGTGTAGGCCCCACACGTCGTACAGAAAAACATAGTGGCCTCGACATCGTTCTTGGTCACACGCGTATGAGCAAGCGTGTGGCCTTTGCTGAAATCGAGGACCCCCCGCCAGGTCTTGTTGGGCCCAGGGCAGCCGATCATTGGTCTGGTGGACGGGTCTTTCCAAAATGACAGGCATCTCAAACAACGAGCTCGTCCTTGCTCAAGGGGTTCCCACGCGTGCCAGCCCCCTGATTTGAGGAAGCGTGCGCGGGGCCCCGCAGGGGAGCGTTCAAACCGTTCAACCTCGAAAACACACAAAACTTTGGCCAGAACTCTGGCCGCGAATTTCAGCTTGACTAAATTCGACTCGATAATGTCCGAATTCATGTTCGAGGGACGGGGGTGGAGAGAGAGGGCATGTTTGGCGAGCGAGTCAGCGAGACTGTTGCCAACGGCGATCCTCTTGTCCACGGGCGAGAGCGAATCGATAACCTCTTGCGACCGATGCGCTGGTGTGTGCTGCACGACGATCTCATGATCACGTTTTTCATGAAGCAGTGCCCCTCGTCGCATGCCTGCATAACGGTGCTTGGCCGACGTCTGGTGCGTCGGGCTGGTGAGGCAGAGCTTGACCACAGTCATGCAGTCACTGATGCGAGTACCTGTGTACTCTACATAGATGGGCAGGCAGGCCATGGCTTGGTGCTCGGCCGCCTGCGGCGTCTGGGGAAGAACGTCCCACACGGTTCCTTTAGCGTAGGCCAAAATGGATTCACCTGGGCCCAGAAACACCCACGCATAGGAGGCGCGGCTAAGTTCGCGCACCGAGTGACGGAGACAGGATCCGTCCATACACACTTCGCACCCTCGCAAGTCGACAGATCCCCACTCAATTTCGGCCCCCTCGGCCGAGTAGAGGGTGGGGGTAGGATGGTTGGACGGAGGAGGGTGGAGGGTTTCGGGATGTTCGAGTTTAAGCTCGTCCCATAAAAACCGATCTTCGCTTTCCAGGGCCTCCTGAAAAAGTTCAAGCTGTTCTCCCACAGCTTCGGCTCGGGCAGCCCGTGCAGTCTCGTGCTGACACAGCCAGCCGCGGTGTCTGATGCTGTCGACCTCACCGCACAAAGGGCATCTACCGTCGCTCTGGTATCCTGCAGCGCGGGCTCGCGCGCGGGTCCAGACTCCACTACAAAACACTGAGCTGGCAAGGTATTTTCCCCGATCAGTCAGAACCTTGGACTTGGGCCCCAGGAGTTTTTGCAAGGGGTCAAGGGTCACACGCGGACCAGGAAAATTCACGAGATCCGAAGCCAGCTTCCGTTCAAAACTGCGCTGAGTGGCCAACCGAAGTAAATGACTCACCATGCTGGGCGAGTTGACGCCGAGGAGAACTTCACGACCGTAGTCGTCCTCCCAAGTGAGAGCAGACGTGGCACACCAGCCCACACGAAAAAGGCACAGATGCATTCTCTGGATGGGCCCCCTCGAACTCTTCCAACACACATCTTGATCGAAAGGCACTCGGCACCACATTTGGCAACCTTCCTTAACCGTGTAATGGGAGGTCGAGGGAGAAGTGATGGCCGTCCAGACGATCGAAGCCCAATGAACCGCGGGGGCCACGCTCGCACGATCGACGGGGTCCCCATGCAAGGCAAGTTTGGCCGTGAGGGAACAACCACGGTGAAAAGGGGGTTTGTAGGAGAGGAGGACACGCCTGGCCTGGGACAGTTCCCAGTCACTCAAACCAACGACGGCCGATCCGAAAGTGGCAGCAGGGGTAACGCCAGCAACATAAATCTTCCCGATTCGGCCCTTCTGCCGAGGAAGTCGGCTCCTCATTTTCTGCAACTTCTTATGACGCTTGAACATAGAATCGAACCGAGATCGGCGTTTCCAAAGGGCATTACGAGCCGACCTCACCTGACCAGGAGCAAAATCAGTGCCAAGAGACACGGTACTGTTCGTAACAAGGCCAGCCTTCTGGCCGAGCAAAGTGCCAAGCTTGTTGGCCAAAGAAAGAGAGCTCCCGAACGTAGTTAATTTATCCGCCTGGAGGCCGACCTTCAAACTGTCGCGGAAAATAACATACATGTGCGCACAAGCCTGGACCATACGACTGAGAGCCTCCTGTTCCGTATCCGCCTGCGTCGTCAGAGCATCATCATCGACATAGGAGGAGAGAGGGGCAAGGGGGTTGGCCATCGTGTAGCCGTCGAAGGCCTCGAGGCTGTACACACGGACAAACAGGTCGTCAAATCCGTCGCCCGCGGGTAAGCCCGACGTAGCGAAGTATGGGGATCGTGCCATACATGCTGCCGAGCCTAACGATTCGTGGGTCCTCGCCAGAAGTTAAAAGTGGTTGTAACAATGACTTCCTGGAACCCGAAATTGAGAGCACGATCCCTGAGCAAACCCAAATCGAAACTTTCGTAGTATTTGGTGCCGTCCCAAATCACCCCGAGAGACACTTGGCCCGTCTGAGCCGCCACTTCGCTGGCCGCCGCCTGATGCCACACAGCATCCTCAGGGCTGCGGCCAGGGCCGAAGGCCCAAACACGTCGGGGAAAACGATCGTTAAAGTCGGTGAGCCAAGGCCTGCGGAGGCGTTCACAGACACGAACGGGCCCAGCGCATAACAGGATGGGGCGGAGCCCGCCCTTGGGTTTCTCCAACAAAGGGAGCAGTAACCAGAACAGCTGTTTGGGGAACAGTCCCAACGACTCAATAGCCTGGACGAGGGCGCCGAAGGTGTCGAGGGCCGCATCCGAGACCAAAGAGAGCTGCCGCGGGTGCAGCCCGTCGAGCGACTGGGAGGTGAGCGCCGAGAAGCTGGCGCTGGCGCTGCGGATATCTCCTGCAGTCGGGCGCGGAAGATGATTCCTATTGGGAACCCACACGTTAGACGGCGCAGTGCTGGCATGCCAAAAACTAGCCAACGCCTCGCTCTCGGCCTCGAGCAGGTCCCGAGGGTTGGCCGAGAAAATGCCAGGGTGGGTTTCGATCGTGGTAGGGGTCCACCGACGTTTCAGTTTGGTAAGGCGGTGCATAGCCCGAGCCCCTCCCCTTAAAGCTTTCTCCTGCCATTCATCCCACGAGTCCTGCCTCCCCTTCTTGATGGCCTTGACAGCATCATCGTAGTCGTCCTCCCAAGACTGGAGGAACTCGTCAAGGTCGGTCAGCCACGTGGCTGAAGAGGCGGACCCGCGGCGCATGAGCTCACGAGACTGTGCAATCGTGCTGTCCAAGCGCGCGCTGAGTCCCTCTCCAGGGCATGGCGGAGCAACAACAAGCTGCATCTGCTGATTCACGTCCTGACACAATTGATCGAGCTTGGTAGGGTCCTGACCAATCCCTTGCTCCGCCTCCTGGAAACGACGACAGGCCCCGAGGGTTTCACGAAGCTGCTGGGCCAACCACTCCCAACCAACATAAACCAGGTTCGTAGCGTTACCTTTGGGGCGAGAAAAAATGGGGATCCAACGCGCCTTCAACCTAGAACCTTTGTGGCCCTTGCTGGTAACTGGGACACCCGTAAAGGACTCGAGCTCGAGCTCGAGGGTGTTGGAGAAGTACACCCACGCTTGGCTCAAAAGTTCCCACGCCTCGCCGACGGGAGCCGAGATAGCCGCATCGGCCGCACATTCGGCGATGTCGCGAGCCATACTCCAATTCTGCGGGCAAGGGGACGGTCCCACAGGCAGCTCGCAAGGAAGTCGTTGGTGCGACCTGTAAGTTAACTGGTACAACGAAACAGCACGATCACGAAGTTGCAACTGAACTGGCCTGTGGGGCCGCCCCGTCCAGGTCAAATCTGCCTTCACACCCTCGACCGCCCTCGAGAAACTATTGGAGGCCATGAAGACATCTAAGGTAGTGAGGGAGGAGGGGCTGACACACGTGTGTTCCTTAGGCACGAACAAGACCGCCTCGAGGCGGCGGGGGAGGCCAGCAGACTCGATGAGACTGGGAGCCAGATTCCAGTCTCCGCCCGCCAAAAAGAGGTGCTCGTGCTGCAAGGCCTGTCCGATTTTCTTAATTAACCTCAGGTTGAGCTCACAAAGCCCCGTGCCTGATTTCAAGTAAACCGACATCACAACGAGGGGGGGCCAAGACGGGATGTCAACGATAGCTTTCAGGATCCGACCGTGCTCGACGATGCCAGAGCCATCCGAGGGCCACCTGAGGCCCAGGTGTTGTCGAACCAAGACGGCCGCCCCCCATTTAGGTTTCCCAGACAATCTTGGAACAGCAGGAGCTGCGAGCATGCGCCAGCCCAGCTTACCTACTGCGTCGCACTTGTCACCTTCATCGTCGAGGGTGAAACCGATCTCCTGTGCCAACAAAATAAGAGCGGAAGAGGTAGTCAACCGTTCTCGCAGTGTGGGCCAAGAGTTTCCGTTGTACGTCTCGAAGAGCTCACTGCCCATCGTGCCCAGAGAGGAGTCCAAAGGAGGAGGATGGGGAGGCACTGGAAGGCCAAACCTAGACAGAGGCAGGCCGCAGCACAGGGGCATTACTTCACTGCTACTGCTAGGAGCGCCGCTGGCGCTTGGCCAGGATCTCCTGCAACTTGATACCCCACTCCCGCTTCTCGATGCGCTGGGCGCTGAAAAAGAGCTCCTGCACGTCGGGGTCGTCCTCATCGATAGGCACGGGCTCGTCAGCTGCGTCCGCCCAAACACTGTCGACGGGCGATCGAACTGGCGTTGGTGTTGATGCTTCTGGTTGCTGCGCCGGAGGCATATCTGTGTCACCAGCAACATCAAATGGAGAGGGAGCCGCCGTGGTCGTCGCTGCCGATGCCGCTCTGACCTGCTGCTCCGCGAGGAACTGCTTGTACTTCTGAAACACATCTGACTGGAGCATGGCCGAAACCGCATCCTTGTCAGCACCTGGTTGGACTTCTTCGAGATTGAGCGGAACATGCCCCAGGTGACCAGGAAGATTGAGCACCAGCTGGCGGTTGAGCTCCTTAATCTCCTTATCACATACAGTTTGTTGTGCTCGGATTGAATCAAGCTTCTCTTGAGCCTGCTGCAAGATCTGAAGCTGTGTAGTCTCATCCTGTCCGAGCTGCTTGCGCTTCGCAACCATACGTGCCAGCTTGTGGCCCGTGTTGGTGTGCTGGGTGAGCGCTGGTTGGAGTATTTTCTGACTATCCTGCATTTTCCGTCCAAAATCCGCCTGTAGGGGGACACACCCGACTTAACCCTTGGCCTCGCTCGGGCTTTTTTTTTCGGAATGCGGGAAAAAAGAGGGTGTACACCTAATTTTTTGGCGCTCCGCGCGGATTTCTGGGATAGGCGCTGGGCCCCGCCGCCTCCCCCCCTCCGGCGGCGCCTTTGGCGCCGCCTCTGGCGCGCTCCGCGCGCCAGGGAGGGGGGTCCAGCGCCGATATAAGAAATCCGCGCGAAGCGCCACAAGTTTATGTTTACGCAGTTTTTTCTCTCTTCCAGAACGCCGACTCTGGAGGCCTCGACCCATTCCCTGGGGTCGGCTTTTGATCCCGAGTCGTTTTTTGACCGTCCCGAGGCCCCGGCGAGGGCCTCCGGAGGCCCAAAGTAGCGAAAAACCTCCCGCCGTGATTTTTCCATGACTCGGGGGGGTCTGGGTGTTCTTCTGGCGAAAAAGGAGCGCGCGAAAGCGCAACGTGCACTCGGCGTCACCCCAATATACTTATACTATATGTTCGTCGCCCCCTCAGGGGCGACGCGCGCACCGAGAAATCTTATAGTATATGCGTCGTGGCGGGCGCTTTCTGGCCACACCGCTCGGGAAACGATATACTACAAGATGGGCATACTATATGTTCGGGTCGGACGAGCGCCTCCGAGGAGGACATATAGTATTAGTGTGTCTCTGAGCATCCCGTGCACGGGGAGCAGACGTCCGAGCGACGGCCAGCCCCCCGGGCCGGCCAGCCCGGGGCACATGGCGCACGTGCAGGGGCGGGCCCTGCGGCTCCGGCTCCGAGCAGGCCGCGGGGGCAGGGGGGCGCAAGCCCCGAGAGCCTGGCGACGACGACGACGACGACGACGACGACGACGACGACGGCGACGACGACGACGGCGACGACGGCGGCGACGACGACGACGACGACGACGGCGACGACGACGACGACGACGGCGACGACGACGACGACGACGGCGACGACGACGACGACGACGGCGACGGCGACGACGACGACGACGACGACGGCGACGACGACGACGACGACGACGACGACGACGACGACGACGACCCTGAAAGCCTGGCGTCGCAATTTTTCAAGCCTGGCGTTTTCGCTCCGTTTCGGGCCCTGGGGCTTTCACAGGTCGAGCCAGCTCGAAGAAGGACGCAGAAAGATAGGGTCCGAGGGTTTGGTCGTGTTTTTTCGTGATGCTGCATTTTTTTGCATCGTGGGATCTCAGGGTCGATGGGCTTGGAAGAAACATTGGCCGACCCGCCTCCAATGCCTTCGGCGAGGAGACCGATGGGTTTGCCCATGATGTGAGAATCGTTTGTGCATCTTCCTCTTCAGACAGGGTATTTATTGCATTTCATGCGGCGGCAGTAGAGGCGAGGCGCCGACATTTTTGGATCCAGGGGGGCCGGAATCGGCCATGTTGCAGGTCTGCGACCACGCGGCTGCAGACAGCCTTCAAGTTCTGAACCACAGCTGGCTTTTCATCAGGAATGTGACCTGCAGGGGTAGGCTTCGCACGTGGTTGGTCCAAAGCACTGCTGGAAGTCACCTGGCGTTTCGGCCCAAAGCCTAAGATGCAGTTTGTCCTGGAATCCATCAGACCACTCGACGAATGGACTCGAGGTGCAAGCGCCCATATGGATTCCACCCTAAGCCCTGCACCATGGTCCGTGTCGACCCGATCGGTCCAAGTCGATGTCGATTTCGGCCGACCCGATCCGATTCGATTTGGAGATTCTGGCGATCCGATGCGTTCCGATGCTTGCAGGGTGTCAACATGCATCCTGGCGCGCCCGGCCCGGTTTGGTTTCCGATTTCGACTTCGTGCCGATGCAGCTCGACCCCATGCACATTTCGGCCCGATCCCGTTTCCCGATCCGATGCTGACTGGTCCTAGCCTGCACCCGAAAAGATGTTCCGCACTTGCCAGGGGCGTCGAAAGAGGGGCGCGAAGACTGTAGGGATCGGGCGGGGCCAGGACGAGGATAGATCTGTTCCAGAGCGTTCCGGAACGCTCTCAGAGCGTTTTGGAACGCTCGGAGAAGGCCGCGGCGCCCGAGACATCCCCCGCAGCCACCGAATCTCAGAGATTCTCGATTCTATTCTCGTCCGATTCTATCCTCGCCCTGGCTTCGTCTCAGGGGCGCGAAGACTGGGTGTGTGTGGACGGCATGGCCGCGGCCTCGAAATCTCCCTGACTTCACGGCCCCCTTGTCCCGGCCACGCGCAGAGGGGGGTGACGGGGGAGGGGGGAACAGCTTGCCAGAAACACCCCTGCTTCTCTCAGGAGGAAACGAAACACGCAGACACAATTAATCGTCGACTCCCAGGGAAATATAGGAAAGTATGGGAAGTGGGGGGAAGACAAAAACACAGAAAATATGGGAAAATATGGGGGAGTCCTTTTATTTGTGTGTATTTATTTGTGTGTCCCAGTTTCCCTTTCAGAGGGGGGAACTGCTTGCCAGAAACGCCCCTTCATTCTCCGAGGGACCGCGGGCCTTGTCTGGGAGGGGGGGGACGGCTTCTCCGCAGGCGCGGGCCCCGCCTGCAGATGCAGGGCCCGCGCCTTCTAGAAGGCGGCCTCCTTCTACGAAGCCTTCCCCTCTTCCCCCGATTATGTCGGGCGTGTCCCCCTACAGGGGGATTTTCGACGAAAGCTAAAAGATACCCCAAACATACCCCAAGAAGGTCAAAAAATACCCCAAACATAGTCCCCAGACTATTTGTGGACTTTTTGGGCAATTTTTTGCGAATTTTTTTTTTTTTCGTCGAGAATCCCCCTGTAGGGGGACATGCCCGACTGAACCCTACGAACCCCCTCGTGCGCGCCGCCAGTGGTCCGCGCTCGCGCCTCGGGCCGTGGTGCGCCAAGCAGCCCCCTCTCTGCGGCGAGCGAGGGGCGGACGTGAGAGGGAGAAGGCCTTCTCAGAAGGGGCGGCGGGGCTGCTCAGAAGCCCTGCGGCCTGCCGAGAGGTTTTCTCTGCGTCGTCGGGGAAGGCCCAGAAAACTTCTCAGAAGGCCGGGGGACTTCCGAGCCTTCTGAGAAGGCCTTCTCCTTCTCACTTCCCCCCCTCCTCGCCAGGGGGAGGGGAAGGGGTGAGGGCGGGCGGAGGAGGAGGAGGAGGAGGAGGAGGAGGAGGAGGAGGAGGAGGAGGAGGAGGAGGAGGAGGAGGGAAGAGTGGAGCGAGAGGGGACGATGGAGGGGTTGCTCGCCGCCGACCCTCCTCCTGCCCCTCTCCGGGCGGTCCTGGCAGAGGCGGCCGAGGGGCCGCCCCGGGAGCCCGCCGAGGGTCGCGGGAGACCGCCGAAGACCGCCGAGGGCCAGCGGGCAACCCCCCCGAGACCACCTCGAGTGATGGGAAAGTCACGACGGGAGGTTTCTGGGTGTTCTCGGCCTCCGGGGGTGAGTATGACAGAAGTCGCTCTTTCGAGTCATCCAATCATTCATCGATTGACCCTCCTTTCCTCGCATTCATCGATGCCTGGGCCCCTCAGTGTGAGTTTCGATTAGCGTTCCTGGGGCCTAGGATCAGTTTCGGTTATTGCCCCTGGGCCCCCGGACCGGGGGCCCTCACCGAGCCTCGGGGCTGTCAACAAAAAGGCTCAGGCCAGGGAATGGGTCGAGACCTCTGGGGGTTGACGTTATGAGAAAAAATCATGGCGTCGGTGGATGGGCCGAGATCCTGGCGTCGCGATCTTTGTTTCGGATGTTGCTAGACGTGCCCCTGGCCCAAGGTGCTCCCATGATTTCCACGGAGGCCCCCACGGCCTCCAGAGCGCCCCTCACGAGGCCCAGAGGACCCCATGGGGCTCCAGAATGGAGCGAAAGGCTGGGCCGCCGAGGAGCCCGCTGAAGGTCGCGGGAGGCCGCCGAAGCCCGCCGAGGGCCGGCGAGGAACCCCGAGATTCTGGCGTCGCGACCTTCTTCCTCGCCATCGTTCGGACGTCCATTCCCGCGCATTTTTCGATTTCGCGTTCGTATTTTCGCAAGATGTTCCAGAAGTGTTCCGTAGATCGACGAGCATTTTTTTGTTTGTTTTTTTGTTTTGCTTTCTCTCTCTTTTATTTTCTCGTAAGTTCGACGAGACACTCAATGTGGGGGTAATTCAATCGTGTATTCGATCGCCTACTCGAGAAGGGGGGCTGCGAGGTCTGCTACGTGCAGCTGGCTTCGTCTCCGCCGCCGGGTGCGTTCCCTCGATGAATAATGGGCGCTTCTGGCGCCTCGAGGCGCCGGGAAAATCAGCCACAGTCTGACCGAGGCATACGATCGAGGTCGGTCCGGGGAGGGTGCCCAAAGGCTCTTCGCGTTTCCTGGATGTCCTTGTGCATCCTGGGGCGGGTACCCTAGGATGTCCTGTGCGTTTTGGCCGGCGGAGGGCCTCATGTTCTGGAAGGGTGGTCTTCTGGCTCAGGTCCGGCTGTACATGAGCTGTTTCACTAACTCCCCCCCTTGACCCCTCCTCCCCTTTCTCAGGAGGGAAAGAAACACACAGACACAATCAATCGTCGACTCCCAAGAAAATATGGGAAAATATGGGAAGTGGGGGGGAAGACAAAAACCCAAAACATATGGGAAAATTGAATCGCTTCGCTCATGCCGCCGGCCCGTATTGTGCCATCGCGGGGTCTTGGGGGGTCTTGGGGGCCTTTGGAAGCTTCGTGGGAGCTTCTTGGGAACTTTGGGAGGCCTCGTGGATGGCTCTGGGTGGGCCCTCTTGGTGGTCTCTTGGGGGGGTCTGCCTGGCCTCTTGGGGGCCTCCTGGGAGCTTCCTGGGGGTCTCTTGGGGGCCTCTCGGGGCTTTCTTGCGGCCTGTTGGGGGCCTCTTGGGGCTCTCTTGGGGGCTTCGTGGGGCTACTTGGGGGCTTGTAGGGGCATTTCGGGGGCGTGTTTGGGCGGGAGGCTCAAACTTTCCGTTCAGGTTGCCCCTGTGGACCTCAATCACCGTCTTGGGGCCTCTTGGACCGTCTTGAGGGTTTCTTGGGCCTTCTTGGAGCGCTGTTGGGCCGTCCTTGAGCGGTCTTGAGGGTCTCTCGGGCCGTCTTGGGGTGATCTTGGGGGCCTCTTGGACCGCCTTGAAAGGTGTGAAAGACGAAGAGGCGGATATGTTAAAAATGCACGCTTCCCTAAGGGAATGGGACGATTTTTGCTTGTGGGAGCCCTCTTGGGACGCCGCTTAGGGACCTCTTGGGGCGTCTTGAAGGCCTGTTGGGCCGTCTTGAGGCCATCGCAGGCGTTTGGGGGTGATATTTCGGCGTCTCCCGGCTCTCTTGGACCGTCTGGAGGGCTTCTCGGGCCCCTCTTGGACCGATTTGGAGCCCTCCTGGGCTCCGAAAAAGAGTTCTTGAGGGTTTCTTGGGCCTTCTTGGAGCGCTCTTGGGCCGTCTTTGAGCGGTCTAGAGGGTCTCTCGGGCCGTCTTGGGGTGATCTTGGAGGCCTCTTGGACCGCCTTGAAAGGTGTGAAAGACGAAGAGGCGGATATGTTAAAACTGCACGTTTTCTCAAGGGAATGGGACGATTTTTGCTAGTGGGAGCTCTCTTGGGACGCCGCTTAAGGACCTCTTAGGGACCTCTTGGGGCGTCTTGAAGGCCTGTTGGGCCGTCTTGAGGCCATCGTAGGCGTTTGGGAGTGATATTTCGGCGTCTCCCGGCTCTCTTGGACCGTCTGGAGGGCTTCTCGGGCCCCTCTTGGACCGATTTGGAGCCCTCCTGGGCTCCGAAAAAGAGTTCTTGAGGGTTTCTTGGGCCTTCTTGGAGCGCTCTTGGGCCGTCTTTGAGCGGTCTAGAG